AGACACAACCACAAAGGACACTTTCACTGCAACTGTCAGAGCAAAGCAGGAAACACTACGTGGCATCACTGAGGAATCATCCGTGGAAGACCATTGGAACTCTCTGAAGGTAATTTTCAACGAAACGTGCTCAACGGGTTTAGGAAGAAAGAAGAAACAAGACAAGGAATGGCTCTCAACAGACACTTGGAAGCTGATAGAGGAGAGGAGAAAGGTGAAAGAGAAAATGATTCAATGCAAAGATGGACAAGAGAAAGAGACGCTGAACTCAACTTACACAGCACTGGACAAAGAAGTGAAGAAGAGTGCCAGGAAAGACAAAAGACAATTCTACGACAACCTGGCCACTGAAGCTGAGAAGGCAGCAGGCAAAAGGGACCTGAGGACATTATATCAGATAACCAAGTCTCTATCCGGGAAGAAATCAACACAAGTGAAACCTATAAAAGACAGCCAAGGGAACCCAATTACCAAAGAAGAAAGACAGATTAAACAATGGGCGGACCACTTCAAAGGACTCTTGAACCGACCACCACCTACAACCCGTCCAGTAATACCAACAACAGCACGTACACAACTGCAAGTTGACACCGATCCTCCAACGAAAGCTGAAGTCTTGAATGCAATCAAGCTTCTGAAAGCTGGTAAAGCAGCTGGACCAGATGGAATTCCCCCTGAAGCACTGAAAGCGGACCCAGAGACGACAGCAGATATGCTGACTCCATTATTGCAAAAGGTCTGGAAAGAGGGAAAGGTGCCCACTGACTGGAGGAAAGGTTACCTTGTGAAACTGCCAAAGAAACGCGACTGAGGATTCTGCAAGAACTGGCGAGGAATCATGCTCCTGTCGACGCCAAGTAAAATTCTGAGTCGCATCATCCTGAAGAGAATCAAGAACGCACTGGATACAGAACTCCGACCAGAACAAGCTGGATTCAGGAAAGGCAAATCATGTTCTGACCAAATTGCAACTTTACGCATCATCATCACAGAACAAAGCATGGAATGGCAATCAAACCTCTACCTCAACTTTATAGACTTTGAGAAGGCCTTCGACAGCGTTGGCCGCGAAGTAATTTGGAAACTACTCGAGTACTACGGCGTACCCCAAATATTTATCAACCTTATTCAACAGCTGTACGACAACGGCACATGTCAAGTGATCCACAACGGAAAACTCAGCGAAGCGTTTGGAGTAAACACAAGAGTCAGACAAGGGTGCTTATTATCACCAATGATATTCCTAATTGTGGTGGAGTGGATTATGCGTCAGACAGTGGGAAACGAGAAGACAGGGATATCCTGGACCGACGTGAAGAACCTAGAAGACCTGGATTTTGCGGATGATTTATGTTTGATGTCACACAAAATCGAAGACTTACAAACAAAAACCGACAAACTAGTCGAAGAAGCAGCAAAGACAGGACTCCAGGTGAACATAGACAAGACGGAGGTTATGAAAATAACCAACAACAACAACAGCAGCAACATCCAGTGCCAATCACCATCAACGGGAGGGATTTGAAAGAGGTTACTTCTTTCACTTATCTAGGGAGCATTGTCTCAACCACAGGAGGAACGGACGAGGATGTCAAATCGAGAATCGGGAAGGCGAGTAAAACATTCATCAACCTGAAACCAATCTGGAAATCTTCGTCACTCAGCATCAACAACAAAATTCGGATTTTCAATATAAACGTGAAGTCAATTTTGCTTTACGGATCAGAAACTTGGCGGGTCACCAAGAATATTTCCAACAGCCTGTTGCAGACCTTTATCAACAACTGTCTTCGCTCCATACTGAAGATTAGATGGCCGGAAAGAATCACAAACAAGAAGCTATGGGAACAAACGAAACAGGAACCAATCGCCCAACAAATATGCAGGAGGAAGTGGAGATGGATTGGACACTCGCTGAGGAGGCCGTCGAGTGACATCGCGCGTCAGGCCAGTGCTCGAGTGGAACCCGAAAGGGAAGCGGTGAATGGGACGTCCAAGGGTAACATGGAGGAGATCGTGTGAGGAGGAGATGAAACAGTATGGAATAACATGGACGCAAGTGAAAAGTACAGCACAAGACAGAAGCAAGTGGAGACGTGCAGTTGAAGCCCTATGTTCCACTAGGAACCCAAGGGAACAATAATATATTAATAATAGAGAACAACAACTAGCTTACATGCTTCGCGACTACTAGTGATGCAGTTGAAAGAGTCAAAGTGGCAAGCAACGCAAGACCTATTTTTGAGAAATCCGTGTTGAGACCTTGTAACGGATCTCCCCTAGGTAGATAGTCTGAAAATTGATCTTTGACAACTTTTTCCATGATTTGCGAGACAACTGGGGTTATATTTATAGGTCTGTAATTGCGGACGTTTGCCTTATCACTGGATTTATAGAGTGGAATTATGAAGCTAGTTTCCATAGATATTGAGAAGAACTTAAGAAGTAATAGGGGTATATCACACCCACTACTCTTGAAAATTACAGAAGCAAGGCCATCTGGTACCGTGCTAGTGGAAGGTTTTGGGCTTTTAACTGCTTGTTCTATTAATTGGCTGGTGAACACTATGTTTCCGAGGAAAGAGGTAGTAAGCGGGCCGGTTTCACCAGGAATGCGCGTTTCTAAACTGAAGTTTGCAAACCACTCACTGAATATTTCACAGATTGTGGCAGGCTCACAGTAGATAACTTTGTCGTGAAGTAAATAGGGGATATCTCTCGTCGACCGCATTCGAGTTTTAAGTAGTCTTGTCAGGTTATAAACTTTGGAGGTGCTTTCAAGTGACCTTAACTCTTCGTCGAGGTCTTTTCGAGAGCGTTGGCGCTTGATAGATTCAAGAGACTAGTGGATTGAGTGCAGTAGTAATATATCCTTTGTGAAATAATACTGCTTCATCAACATCCTTAACTTACTGCGGTATGCCCTCCGAATGTACTAAGCTTGGTGTCTAATTAATTTCACGAAATTATTAGGAGCAACAGTATCTAGAAAATGGGCAACATTCCGGTGAAATAGGGACACAACAGCCTCAAGAGAGTCAGTGGTAAAATATTCACAGCAGTGACAGAGTCGAGTGAGTTCTTGGACAAATCCCAAGTCTGTAAGTTTGAAACTATATATGACAATGCTTTATGTCAGGTGACTCACAACGGAAAACTCAGCGACGTGTTCGAAGTGAATACAGGAGTAAAACGAGACTACCGATGGTATTCTTGACTGTGGTGGACTGGATTGTGCATCAGACTGTGAGGAGTGAGAATTAAGGGATACGCTGCACCGATAAGAAGACTCCAGACAATCTGAACTTCCCAGATGATTTATATTTAATGTGAAATAAACTCGAAGACTTCGAGGCAGACGAAAACCAACAAACTGGCAGAAGAGGCTGGCAGGCAACGAAGACAGGATTCCGGGTGAACATAGAGAAGACGGAGGTGATGAAGATAACCAACCAACAGCAACAACAACCAGCAACAATAACCATCAACAGGAGTGTTTTGAATTAGTTTACTTCCTTCACACATCTGCCAGTAATCATCGTTTTTATATACATGTGGAACGGACGAAGATGTCAGTCAGAACTGGAAAGGCAAGAAACGCCTTCATCAATCTGAGACCAGTTTGGAAATCTTATGCACTCTGCATAAAGTACGCCAATGTCAATTCGATTTATCTCTGTGGATCAGAAACTCCAGCGGCATATCAGGTAAAGGATTTCCAATTGGCCACTGAAAACTTTCATCAAGAGCCGTCTTCGCTGGCTCCATACCGAAGATCAAATGGCCATAAGGAATTAGTAACAGGAAACTGTGGGGACAAACCAATCAACAGCAGATCGCTCAAGCAAATATATAGATTTAAGTTGATTCAATTTCAGTACAAGTATGGATTCAGCATGGATATCGGTTGCCCAAATTCAGGCATACCATAGATATCAGGTGTGCGCCGGCAGGGGATCGAACCCCGGACCATGTGCATGGTCGGCGAGAGTCCTAACCACTGTGCCACCGACGCATAGTGGAGATGGATCGGGCATAAATTGAGGATACCGTCACATAACATCGCGCGCAATGCAGGCCATTGCTGAAGTGGAATCCCAATGGGAAGTGACGAGTAGACTGTGCGAGGAGGAGATTAGAGAGTTTGGGCAACCGTGGACTCAGCTTGTGAGGATAGCAGAGAGTAGAACGAAGTGGAGATGTGTTGTCGGATCCTTATTTTCCACTGGTTAACTTAGTGGTGTTTGATAATTTGTCTCCTTTTATTCATGTATTTCCATATTTTTGCCCTTTTCTAGATATATACGTTTTCGGAGATTTGTACGGTAGCCATTTTTTGGAAGGTTAGTTTTCATGGTTTCTATCTGGTGTTTTCTTCGTTCTTCGGGATATGTTTGTGTGTTCTCTGACTGGTGTAAATAATTTAATTTTTTATATTTGAAGGTTTGAAATTGTGGAGATGGATATGCAGTCTCTTTTCCAACTAAATCTTATTCTTAATCAATGGACTATTATCCTCACTAGGGTTTTTGACATAACTTTTGTATGCTCTTACTGGCTATTAGGTGACTTAAGACTGTGTAGATTCGAGTTATTTCAAATAACTGATCACTCCTATTGTTCTTTTATTGAGTTTATCGCGTGGATAGTTAACCTACTAAATCTCTTCTTTTAGGTTAAATTTATTATTTACTTTATAATTGTGAAATATGCTACAAAGTGAACAGAAGCAGTGGACAATTCTGTTGCGCTTTTCTTCATTTTTAACATATCGTGCCTGAAAGCAATTCCTCAAAACTTACAGAGAAACGGGGGAAAATTGAAAATGTTTCCATCGCTCCGAAACTGATTGACTGGTGAAATTCTATAGAAATCCATTTGAGTCGGTATATGCGTATCTATTGTCGTAGTGTTAACCTGGAACCTTCAACATTACTTCTGAACCAATACTCCTGAACCTCTTCTTCTTCGAAGAGAAACTGCTCTTATTCAAACCAAAAGGAATTTCATAAAACTGCAGTGGGTTAACTTAACATGAAACTAGTACTAAGACTATTATTCTCACAGACCCACATTGTTTAACTAGTTTTGTGTTTTGGCGCACTACTTAAGCCTGACGCAAAATGGGCTCTCAAGATAGTGTTTATAACTTTGAGAAGGTGGCTGTTGATCCAGTAGGTCTTTTTATATTTCTATTCCTTCAAAAGACCATTGCAGTTTCGCTTGTTCTTTTGAAATGTTATCGAAGTTCCAGGACACAGAGTATGTATATGCTATTTTGTAGGACAGATGTGACCTTTTTTCTGATTAGTTCTAAGGAAATGACAGTAAAGAATTCCTTGTACAAATAATGCCATGCGTTAGTAGATTGATGTGGAATGAGATGTTTCCTCATATCCATGTTTGCCCGCTTAAACATTTAGTACTTGCACTAGGTTAACTACGTTGGGACCAAGCACCCGGCTGTAGTAGTATTAGAATGTCACGTTTTCCTGGATAAAAAAAGTTAGTTTCTTTCGGTATTAAAATAAGCTCGTTTCCCAAAGTTATGGGTAGTTTCGCATGACTATTGTCTGGGTATGCAATGGAGTACTGCAAGTCTGATTGCCGACCGTGAACTTTATGTCTGCACGCAGAGTAAAAAAAAAGATAATTGTGTATTGTATGTCGTCTGTCGTAGGGTAGGATAAAACTTGTCTGAAAATAAAGCCTGAACGTGTCTAAGCTTACAATCAGTTTTACTTCGTATCACGTACAGTCACTAGTCTCATTTTCCTCTAGTAGGACTCACACCTGTATTCGGTAGCTCCTCCCAGTGGTAGCACGGGAAATATTTTCTGTCCAACTCTATGGCTGAGCGTATTCAAATCTGAAGTGTCTGAATTTGTAAGCTTTTGTGGTGGGACCATTATATAGGCAGCGAATGTTTTGTAGTTGTAAACACTTCAAGTGACCATAACTTTTTGAGCGTATTTATCATTCCTCATTAAGAACTAGTGAAATTGTTGGAATTTAAATATTTTATTAAATCACAAAGTGATGTTAAACTATAGCAGCCACCCTCATACATGACCTTCGATAACCAATTTGAGTTAAAGGTTCTTTAACCAAGTCGAACCATACCTTCTGTTCTGGATTCGCTTAGCGAGTCTCAGTAAGATGTAGTGTTTGTTCATTATGCAAATAATGGATTATTTGGAGTTACTAAGATATGCATATGCGGAGAAATCTTGGCGGGATAACTGGTCTTTCGAGAAGGTTGTGATTAGTTACTCAAAGTCATTGGTTTGGTTGGTAGGGGTGACTGCTATAGATTGCCTTCGCCCACAATGATTCAGAGACAAAATTCTAAGAAAAGACTGCTAAAGATGTGTATATGTACATGTATCACCTCAGAGAAGCATCAATCCTGACTTTGTTCTTTTAAATCTAGTGTGAACCTCTTGTTCTTCGTCCGCCTGTTGGATCAGAAGTTTATGGACCACCGCTTCGCAGAAATCGTCCCAGTCGTCATCGGCCTTTTCTTCTAGGCTCACTCTTCGTTTTGTTTACACTGCTGATGATTGCTAGCGTCTTTTTGTTGCTTTACATTCTTGGATACAGACCGTTAACTGCTCTTACTCATAAATCTAATGGACATCAATCAATTTGTCGCATTCGCATCCCATTTTTGAAGATTGACCCTGTAGAATCAATTACAGCAGATGAGAACTTTCTCAATGTGACATTGTCCGAAGTGCCATACTATAATGTGATACGCATTTTACACTTGTTCTCTGAAGGTCTAACAGTGATTAGGACTAATAAACACTGTTATATTAGACCACTAAGAGCTGAATTAAGAGGATCTGGAGTTGAAGATTACTTGCGTCGACTAAATGTAAGTTTTGCTTCAATTTATAATTCCACTTTTCCTCTATTCGGTATTGACTGCTGCTCAGTATTTTTTCTAATAAAGCAAAGAGAACTTATGCCACCGTACTATTGTTCTAGGTTATGAAAAGGTTTAAAGCATAAACAAATTTGAAACCTATCCGCCTATAGCTTAATATTTAATTTTAGTTAAGTAGCATTCACCCATTCATTGCTTATCAGTCACACGGCAATATGGAGACAAATGTAAACTAATATACGTAGGATGAATTTGACCTCATAAGATGTTCGAAATTTTAGTGTAGCAAACCGAATATTTTTCACACAGACATTTGTAGTGGTAATCTCAAGTTAAGGACTTGGTGGCAATTTAGTGACTCAGTTGTGCTTGTCAAAACAAACCCATCATTCATGCGAAAATTTTTCGTTGAATTGTTATCAAGTGAATGATGGAAGAACTACTGCACAGTGAATTAAAGCTGTTTCAAGGACTAGTCTTGCACAAAAGGCAATACCAGTCAGGAATCGCATTTGTCCTATGTGCACAAAATCACGCTATGGATATAATGTTATTTCTGGTATCACTATGCATGTTAATTCATTAGGTGTAAACAGGTCTTCTCTGCATAGTGTTAAATGTTGTCCTGCACGTAATCTCTTATGATTTTCCAATGAAATTTTATAGTGAGCTTGAAAATCCACCAAACCGTAGTAGTCACACGAAACAATGGAAAACGAAAGGATTTGAGGCTGTTGCAATATTTACAGGTATTTTAAATCTTGTATATGTCCAAACCAAGTTCACTTTTAACAGTTTGGAAAAATTTGGTCATTGGGTAATATATATATATATATTATATATATGCTAAGATATATCTCAGGCAATATTGGGACTAGTGACATAAAGCGTAAAAATGCTTTTCTGTTTACCCTTAGTTTCCGATCTACTCTCGATATGTACACCCTCTAAAAATATTACCTAATTTTAAACAAGATTTAAAATATTCCTTATAATAAAGGTTTTTTTTGTATTTCTCAATGAATGAAAAACAAAACGTTTCATTGTACTCTCAAAGGAGATTTTACCCCCATTGAAGATTTGTGGCTGTTTACATTGTTAATTATTTCCAGTTTTCAGTATCAAAAGATGTCAAAGAGAATGGACTTTTCTTATCAGATCTTTTATAATACTTTTTCATTTAATCCGCTAGGATGGAAATGATCTAAAAGAATCAGTGGAAGGTTATCCTGTGACGGAACCTTGGTTTATTGATAGAGATCCATATAATACTATCCACAATTCATTGATTATGTCATGGTGTGCTGGCGTGCCGGCATATCGTCTAGTGTCAAGACCACCTATCGGAGGATATAATATGGATGTGATACCTGCTGTAAGTTTAGACTAAAGGGATTTCCTTGGATGTATGTTTTATTGTTTATTTATGGTTTTGATTGTTTCTTTGCATCTGAAGTTTAAAGCATCTAGAGCATAATAAAGAGATAGTTGGAATCAAAATGAAATCAGTGAAGTTTCCAACAATTATTCCGTGTGTTAAGGTGTCTTTTTGTCTGAATAAAGGCTTAAGGTATTCATTATACATTTCAAAAGAATAATCAAGTTACAACATATTGTTTTAATGATTGAAAATTCCTTCATTGATTCAGAAATATCATTGGAAAAACATTCTTTTCACTAATTAGCCATTTCTTTTTTTATCAGGGAATAGTTGTAGTATGGTGAATGGAAATTCACTAAAGTTTGATTTTACAAGATTACTCGTGATTCAGAATCGTCTGATGAGTCATCAATAAGCCTATGACAATGACACATGTACCGACCAAAACCTCAAACCAAAAGTTAACTCATTTTGAACACTCACATTTCGAAACATAATTATTCTCCATCATCTCAAAAGTATAGATCTTACTGTTAACTTCTACAGAATGTTTTTTAGTGGATTTTGATTACCGTCAAATGTGTATCGGTTTACTAACTTTCTTGCCTATTTCCTAACCATTATCATCTTTCTTTTGTTATCGTGTTTAATTAGATACCAGACCAGTCAGTGAAACCAAGTAACCCAGATCCATTCGGTGGTGATTATGATGGTGATCAAGCTGACTTCTTACGTGCTCTTCTTCCTGGTTAGTCCATTGGGTTTTTCTCGTGACGGTGATTGTGCTATTGGTAGGACAGTATGATAAGTAGTGATTAAGGATAATACCTGAGTCACATCAGGGTTCTCACTAGCGGCTTCTAGATTACTAAGTCGATCCTCTGATGTTTGAATCTTTTAACTCGACAAGTAGAATGTGAAACTATTAATTTACGGCTATCAGTCGAGACCCAAGTATACATTTCACTCTTAATTATCTATTACAAGAACATCAATTCGTCGACCCAAGTTCAAATGCGAAATATTTACCATATAAGCGTTATGAATTTTGAATTTTGATGTCACACCAAACGAAGATTGATTGGTGTTGTGGTTTGGAAATGGTCATTTTCTTTTTATGTGCCAATGAGTTTGTTTTCTTTATTGCAACGACATATGAAAATGTGTAATATAATTACTAAAGTGAGTGTTCCATTTCATAACTGTATTATTCTTAGCCAGGTGAACAAGTGTATAGTGCCACTAGAAGTATAGACAAATAACTGTTTGATTTAAATTCCTTTGGAGTTATTTTGTCTTAGGTATGAAGCGAATAATATTGCTCTGGAGTTTCTTATAAAAATCTTCAAATTTTCGTATAATTTGACGATTAAACACATTTCAAGTAAATTGTAACTGATTTTGGATCATTTCACTTTGGACATCCATCCACTGGTTAATGACCTGTGAACTCCAGTTGAATAGCGTATACTTTCCAACACGACACAAGCACAGTTTATAGCATATATGACTCAACCAAACTCTATCTTAGAATCTTATACTACTGCACTCATTCTCCCTTTAAAATCTAGGTGGCTGGCTATGTATAACGCATCTTATCTATTTTACTCCTTAGGGACTTTTGACCGTATCAACTAAATTGCTTTGGTTACACAGTACAATAACCAGTTTAAACATGACTCATCCATGTTTCTATCACATATTGACAGACAACTGGTCACGCATACTGACAAATCCCAAACTCACCTTTTGCACCTGTAGCGGTACTTCTTCAACAGTCAGCTTATTAGGGTTGACAATTTCCAAGTAAGCTAAGCTCTCTCTATACATTCGACTAAATTAAGGATCGATGCAGATTATCTTACAATATGATTGTAAATTAGGCGAATAAGAAACTTGTGTTAAGCAACGTGACATTTTTTGGTTGGTTAATGCGGAAGACTGCCCTTTTCCCAGTCTTCATTGGATACTCTCTGGATAGCATTACTAACTGTTGAAAGGCACTATTATGCCTTAGTAAATTCAGCGCTCTTAGCAAGCATCATCACTTATTATCAATTTTAGTTTCTTCAATATCTAAAATACTTGACTACCAGATAAATCATTATAGAGGTTCGCAAGGTAGTGCATCAGTTTAAGTTGCCATATTTTCAAAAAGCATAAAGTGAAGTAACAGAAATAGAAGAATTAACAAGCCTGATTAATAATTTTTTTTACGACTTCAACCGCCCTAACAAATGACAAATTTTCGAATGAGACTGTAGGTTAGGTACTCATTTTCGGGACAAAAGGTTGCATGCATTTCGCTTATTCGATATATCTTAGAGTGAAACTTGGAAACATTTATTTGCAGATACATTTAAAACAAGCGACAAATGTTACTGAAGGGGGATTTAATGAATTCATCAAATTTCAGTAGAACTCTACAGTCAAATGCTCTGCACACAGTGATAAATATATATATCTCATTAGAAATACATTGGGGGATATATGACTGATAATTAGTTAAGTCAATACATTAAATCAGTAATGCGAAATTGAAGGACTGAATACTTCCAGGTTAGTTTGGTAGAAAGGGCGTATGCGATATTAAAATTAAGATAATGCATTACAGTTCAGTTACATCACTTAAAAAAATAATGGGTTATCAGAGAAAGAACCTGGAAATATCATGGATTACAGTCTGCATAATAATAATAAAAACGAGTTAAGACAAAAGTACTGACAAAGAGTTGGTTTTAAATGAATCAAGGATAATAATAAAAGATGGATTAAAAATATTAGTAAAAGTAACAGTTAATAAGTGAGACATATAGCCATGGTGGACTCAAAATGACCATTGTTTCTTTCGGTATACGGACACTGCGTTTATAACACAAGCCTCCGGAAATGCAAGCACCTTTCTATCTGTTTGTCTGCTGATAACAGTGAATGACTTGACAGAGTCAGTATCACGTCCATATTCTGTAAGATTTTTTGTCATTGAACTCTTTGGTACTTTCATTTTTTTATCACTTGGACAAATGCTCCATCATGTAAGTGTATTGATGGTTATATTTTACCTTTTGAATCTAATGATCCCTAATGTTTTATTACTTAATAACTTGATGAAACGGCCTTCCATAATCTGAGTGCTAGAGCTAGTCAGTTTTGTGAGTGTGTGTGTGTGTAGCTTTTTGGACTTACGTGATATGGGATGATTGGATGGTTAATGCGATAGAGTACAGACAAGTTACATTTAGTTTCATTTCCATTTAAGAGAAGGACTGATATTGTTAATATCATAACACAGCATAATTTTATGTTGATTCCATTTACCACAACAACCTGATGTTACATACGCATAGATTATGAACTCTCAAAGCTAGTTTAGTTTTCTAAATGAATTCACTCTTAATCATAATACAGATAAAGGCATTCTTTTGCTAATTTTGTGATTTTTGAAACGACACCAGACCATGAAAATATTCGTCGGGTACGCAGTGTGGACTTGGCTACTGTGATGGGTGTTAAACCAGATACCTTGCCAAAATCAATAATGAAGTCAGGTGAGTGATCATGTTACGATTGTTTTTCATGTCATTTATTGTAAATGAAGGAATCAACATGCTAAAATTGATGTTTAAGTTGTGTTTTTGATTCATTGTTTTGTATAATCCACTTCCTTTTTCTTAAATAACTGAGACTGTATTCATTCTGAAATTTCGATGTCTGAGAGGTAAGTTTGACAAAAAGATACAACACTTTACCAACAAAATATTAAATGGTAGAGAAGGAAGTAGTGATATTTAAGAACATTTGTATGCAATTCTATCATTCTGGTGACTTAAATATCATATTAGCAGAAATGTTTTCTTTACTATTTTTAGAGTAATACTACAACTAATAATAGTTCCATGACACACTTTTTGGGTATAATGCCCAGCTTTTCACTACTTCATGAACTCAATCTCCGTTTCATATGTTGGAATTTAACTTGATAACGTCACTAGCCTTAACGTGACTGATTGCCTGATTTCAACGTAGAGCTTAGCACAGATGTGCAGCAGTTCGAGTTGCAACAATCCATGTAGCACACAAAGCAAGGGAGGAGAGTAGAAAGAGATTCAAAAGCGAGATAATAAACAGAGATATAAGGCAAAAAGAATAGTAATGTAGAGAAACAATAGAGTTTTATTTGGTATGATAAATCACAAAGAGTGAATGCAACCCCGCCATCATTGAGAACAATTTTGAGCCATATCATCAATTGTCTCCAGCTATTGGTTTTTACCATCTTGACGACCCCAACTCGTCAGAAAGTCTACACCTTCCTAAACTGTCTTAAACTAACTGTTGTGGATTTCGTTGACTGATAAAGCCCTGTTTTGGTTTGGCCCTCACTGGCCTTTTTCCAACCTGATCCATCTTATGTCAGCTAACATTGCCCGTCGGTCGAGGAAGGCGATGGGTGGCTAGGAATGCATGCGTAGCACATGTCCTAACTATCTCAATCGGTGTAACTTCACAAACTTATCGATTGGTTTCGCTTCCTTACCTAGCACTCGACCAACTCCTTACCTCAATATTGCTCACCTCATTACACCACTTCACACAGGGGAGATAGAACGCAGACACCCATGATCAAATACAGCTAGTTAGTTAGCTAGCTAGCCTTTTCATGTTTTCCACTTTCAATGGCCAGGTCTCACTTACAGCCATAAAGGAGGACAGGGAGGACTGCTGACCGCTGCACACATCCTTAGGTCGATAACCAGCCGGATATCACGTCTACGCCAGACAATGACGTAAGTTTTCGGGAAAATGTCAAACGAGCCTTCTGTATCCGTGTTGAGATTTCGTCAGCGATCAACCCACTGGGACTAGCTGATGCAACTCCCCAAACAAGTGAAGTGGTCAACGCGCTGTATCACTTCACTTCCCATTTTTATGCTAGGAGTTAATGTAGTCCAGTCAGTTCTGTAGCATCATGTTACATTTAACAAAGGCAGCGAATTACATGCCAAACATTCAAAGATAGTCGCTCAAGGTGTTCAGAAAACTGCATTTGTCAGCGTTTCAACCTAGGAGCAAGACCATATAATCTGCATATTCTAAGTCAACGATATTATTCCCTGATGGTAGCAAGTCAGTCTGTGAGTCGCTGAAGTCAGTTAGAGTTTAGTCCACTGGTAAATCTATGATGAAATTAAACAGAAGTGGAGACAGTGATAATCCCTGATGGACACCACTAGTTGTCACCATTTCAGATGACAGTTTTCCGTAAGCTGTTACCTGGCTGCATGAGTTCGAGTAGAGTGAGTGTCTTGATCAGTGTGATGTATTTTCTGGTCATTCCCTTCACAGCCAAACATCTCCATAGTACCTCTCGGTCGATGGAATCGAAAGCCTTCACACACATTGAAAGTACATTGTATTTTGAATCTCAGAAAAAATGAATAATTTGATCATTTGTAGTTATCAGATATCTGATTAGTGTTAAACATCGCTGTACAAAAGGAAATCCGCTCATACTGCAATATATAACCAATGTCCTTTTTTAACAGATACCGAATGTAGTTTGTTTATGTAATCACCCTTACCTTACTGGCTGTTAACACTTTTCTAATAAGTGTTCTAGTTTTTGGATAAGATCATGTATGATGTGTGTATCTCCAACCAGCTTTTTGTTAGAGCAATAAAAACTCCAGTGGAGACTGTATCGTTTCTTCTCTTCCCTTCGGTGGTCGATTTTGTTAGCGACTAATAATAAGTTGATGGAATCCTTATTGAGCGTATAACGTCGTAGTAACATATTGGTGTTAGTACTGAAGATTGCAATAAGGGCTCAAAAACATATATATAGTACACAAAGCTATATTTATTGAGCAGTCAATGATTGAACCACTTCACTTCATTTGTAAATAATTAAATTTTTCATGTAAACTCTATACAAATTTTGAAAAAAATGTGTTTAATTATTCTGTAGACAAGTCATCGGATTGTGAAATTGTAGACATTCTTCTGGAAGATGCTACAATCACACCAGCAAATGATAACAAACCAGTCTCTGTTCTTCGTGATGTTATCATGTCTTGTCATCATTAAATATTACATCAAAATAAAAGCGAAAAAACAACAAATGAAACAGAAGAGAGGAAAAACCAATCATTATAACAGGAATTATCATCACTGCTCCTTCTTATAACCAGTTTATCCACTGTTACTGTCTGTTTTTATTCTCAATTTTAATTGCATTTCATATGACTGACTTTCATTTTGATTTTGTTAATCACCTGCATTAACATTGATGACAATCATTTGTTTTAATTAGTCTATATTATTAAAGCAATCATAACTGTTTTACGCGCTCACACAATACTCAATAGTATAGATCATCTTTAATAATAATAATAATAATAATAATATTTGTTGTTGTTATCATAATATTAATGATATTATAAAGTAAACTCATGCATTCATTCATTAACTACATATATATTCACTTTTATTGATTTAATGAAAGGTGGTTCACCAAAATAATTTTGATTGTTATTACTGCCTCTGCAAGTGCTAGCATTGTGTTGGTGTGTGTGTTTGTGTGTTTATGGCAAATAAAAGTGTAACAGTAACTTTGCATGCGTCTCAGCGTTTTTTGTCGCTTTTTATCTACCTAACTTGCATTATATGTTTCATGTATATGATAAATAAAAATGTTCGAGTTCTATCGAAGTGTTTTTATGTTTGACGCTATCAATGTTTTAAGTGAATTAAAATGGAAGTATAAAGAAGACATTGTACTAATCTATAAAATAATCTGACTGTTGGTTTAAGTGCAATAGGAAAGTAGTGCTTAGCCACCTTTTGTATGATGAAATGCAGGATCGATGATAGGTCAAAACTGTATACAGTAATTTAGATGTGTTAACTCTGTATGGCTTCCAAAATCCCCAAGATTTTCACACAACCTCAATCTTTTGGTGTATATATATGAATAAAGTGTTGGCTAAAGTTAAGAGAAATCTGATAAGTTGAATCAAGTTGTTGAAGAATGAAGTCAGCGCTACATTGATAAATTAAAAAGCATGAGTCAGTGAATTTTCTCAGAATATTATAGTTTTTGGTTCGCAATATTGTTTACAGAGCCGTAGGCAAATACATTTTTGAGGGATCTTAAAGTAGAATGGAGCAACTGTCCAGTACTCCTTGTTTCTCAGTACTTTCATTTCTGACTTTGGTTGTTTGTAAAGCCTATTGAGTTTGTTTACTTACATATCACCCAAGTGATATCAGGAGGTCGGAAGATTGAAATAAGTGGTCATTCAGATGAAGTCATAAAGTAAATATACTGGCAGTCTTATTGGTCTCTGTACTCTAGTTGCGTTAAACATCTCTTGGTCTAAATGTAAATAGCATTAGAATTGTGGATGAACAGACAACTCAAATCGCAGATGCTTTTCGTAGAAAAAAAAGCATCTGTCTACAGTTATATGAACCAGTCGAAGATTCACATAGACCCCAGTCTGATGATCTTCATTTCCTTAGTGTCGCGTAACTATACTGAGTATTCTTCTGATTTCTCGTTCTTACCATTTAGCAAATTTAGTTTAACAGTGAAATTCTATTCAAACTACCGTTTTCGTTGAATCAAACCCTGCATTATGGAGCTGTGTGATGACTGAGTTTCAGCATAGAAGTTCTCATGGGAAAGCATCAGTCTAAGTGGCCACACTACATGTAGCTCACACAGGTAGACAAGAATCTCGGAATATACACATTAGATCATAAGAAATATTAAAAAGATGGTTACCGCGAAGGAAATTTTCTTTTTGATGAAGTCATGAACATGAGGACGCAGTGGATCTGGGAGACTGAAAAAAGTGAATGCATCTGCCCCTTTGAGAACGGTCTCGAGTCGTGTCATCAACATGGATTGATACCAGCTAATTGTTTGTCAGCCTAGCTCAAGGTCGGCTAACGTTGCTAGTCGTGGAAAGCTATAGCCTGGCTGTGCGACATGTGTCCTAGCTATCTCAATCTATTCGCTTTCACAGTCAAATCAATTGGCTTACCCTCCTCATATAATACTCTACGCCTAACACGAATATTCCTAACAATGTTATACCACTTAACATGGGTGGTAGAACACAGACACCTATTGTTAAAGATAGCTAGCCGTTTCATGTCTTCCACTTTCAACGTCCAGACCTCACATAAAGACGGATGGGGCGAAGAGCTGCCCAGTACACACATCCTTTGATCGATAGCTGAATATCACGGATACGTCACAGAGGAAGTTGGCATATGCCACAGAAGCTTTTTGTACCCGTACTGAGCACTAATCAACAGTCAATCCATCAGGGCAGATGCAATGTCCCAGATAAGTGACGAGGTCAGCATGCTCAACCACCACACTTCATATCTTTAATCTGGGAGTCAGTTCATACAAATCCTGTAGCATCATCATACATCTTGTGACAGGAGTGAATCTCATACCAAACATACTGAGACATCTATTCAAGTTGTCCATAGAACTGCATTTTGTCAGTTTTTTCTCACAGGAAGAAAATGTAATATGCATGCTTCAAATCTACGAAATTATCCTGGTAACAAGTTAATCCCCGATTAGCATCACATTCGTTAATACGCCTATAATGAAATTAAGCAGAAGTGGAAATACTGAGTATCCCTGACGCACACCATTGTTTTTCAGATGAAGACTCTCCACAAGCGCTCGTGTAGGTGCATCAGTTCTAGTAGGGTGCCTTGATTAATGGGGTATACCTTCTCGAAACTTCTTTTACGGTTAAACATTGTCATACCAAATATCGGTCGATAAACTCGAACGCCGCCTTCAGGTTTAGAAATGTGGAAGTGGTTGAATGCCAGTAAATATGCCTGCGGTCCTAAATCTATCGAAGGGTGAATACATTACTTAAGTCATTCCTGGTTTCTCAGGTTTGTTTTTACAGAGAAGAGTTTAGTCTTCACAGTATTTTTCAAAATGGAATTTCAGGTACTTTGTTATTAAAGCTAATCCCATTATAATTACCACTGGAAGACTTGTCTCCTTTCTTGTAGACGGGGATAATCAATAAACTACATCAGTCTAACGGAACTGTTTCTGAATCCCAAAACCTGTATGTGAGGTGTTTTCGCTCATCATCATCATCGTTTTAGGGCTCGAAATTTCGTTTTCTCGAGTCTGTCATTTCGAATGACTCTACAGAAGTACACTAGAATTTGATAACACAACATTGGCCACAGTATCCAAACCCACACTAAATAAAGTAGAATAGTATAATGCCAGGATTCCTTACATTGGGGATTAATATCACACACAGATACGCAATTTTAAACACGAATTGGAATCTAGCTGATACAAACAGCAGCTGAACAGGGAGGTATGGACATAGGGCTAGCAACCCTACACCACTAAACCTATCGAACCGCTAGAGAAACTTCAACATACAAAAATATATTAAAAGTACAAAAAATTCAAAGAACGATCTTATTATTCACTGGAATCGGAGAGGCTAAATGACACACCGAGCTGGTGAGAGCCAGCCTTCGGGAAGCCAGTCAGCCAGCTCATGCGTCTTCTTTCGATGGAAGCAAGAGTAAGAATGGGGACGTGGAATGTTCGTACAATGTACGAGACTGGCTGGGAAGGCTGCCCAAGTAGCCAACGAAATGCGAAGATATGGCATACAAGTGCTGGGTATCTGCGAAAGCAGATGGAACGGATATGGATTATCCAAATTGTCAGCTGGAGAGTCAGTAATCTGCTCCAGTCTGGTCACCCAGACGACAACCACGAACACACTGAGGGAGTGGCGACAATGATGTCGCCAGCGGCAGCCAAAGCTCTAATGTAGTAGGAACCAATCTCCTCCTTCAGCACCATGACAGCAAGATTCAACTCAAAAGGAAAGAACGGTCACAGTCATTCAATGCTACGCACAGTGCTACAAACCACGCTGAACAAGAGAAGAAGCAAAATTTTTATAGACAATTACAAACAGTGATGGACAACATACAAAATGGTGACATCAAAGTCCCCATTGGGGATATGAACGCCAGACGAACTAGGACCTGATAATGCAGGAAGTGCGCCCATCGTGGGTCGAGAGGCTCTCGGAGAAATGAATGAGACTGGAGAACTATTCGCAGACTTCTGCACTTTCAATGGTTTGGTGATTGGAGGCAGCGTGTACAAGCTCAAGGATATACACAAGGCAACATGGGTTTCGCCTGACGGACACACTAGGAACCAGATAGATTTCATCCCACTGTTGCTCAGTGCATCGGAGGCACAGAGGTAGAATGCTCACCAACCACATAGGCACTTCGGAGTTAGATCCCCGGCTGACGGATTCATTTAACTCGCTAAGCCATTAATAAGACTGATAGAAAGGGAAGTCTGGACATGAGGCTAGCGACCCAAACCTGTAAAAATAAACACCACTGCTACTGAAACTTCGAGCCTCTAGGTTCAAAACCTACGTACCACTGCGAGCATAAAGGAAATAAAAAGACAGTGTTGCTCAAGGAAGAGCAGACGCAGCCAGTCCGCTGGACACTAAGTCGAGAAGGGGAGCAGATGTAGACTCAGACCATCATTTAGCTCAAGGAACCTTCAATGTAAAGCTGAAATCCTTCAGAACAACTGGAGACAAGCCACAATTCAAGTTCAATATTCAGAAACTGAAGGACAAAACTACAAGGGATGCCTTCACTACAGATCAGATCAGAGCGAAGTCGGAGACACTATGTGGCATCACTGAGGAAACCTGCATGGAAGAACACTGAAACTCTCTGAAGGTGATATTCAAGGAAACGTGTACAACTGTTCTAGGAAGTAAGAAGAGACACGACAAGGAATGGTTCTCAACGGATACGTACCTGGAAGCTAATCGAGGAGAGGAAGATGGTGAAAGAGATGACTCAATGCAAAGATGGACAAGAGAACAGAGGGAGAAGCTGAGTTCAATGTACACTGCACTGAACAAAGCAGTGAAGAAGAGTGCTAGGAAAGACAAAAGACAAATGTATGACACACTGGCTGGCAAGTGAAGCAGAACAGGCGGGCCACGGTGAAAGAGACCTCAGGACATTTTATCAAATAACCAGGTCTCTATCTGGGAAGAGATCAACCCAGATAATGAAACCAATGAAAGATGCTCAGGAAAATCAGATTATCAAGGAGGAGAAACAAATAAAACGATGGGCTGATCACTCACTGTAAAGGACTATTGAGTCAACCATCACCTGCAACTCGCCCAGAAATACCACCAACAACACGCACTAAACTGCCGGTCAGTGAACACCAATCCTCCAAAGAAAGCAGAAATTCTGAATGCGATCAGGCTACTGGAGTCTGTGAAGGCAGCATGGCCAGACAGAATTCTCTCCAATCCACTGGAAACGGATCCAGAGACTGTGACAGATATGGTCACGTCACTACAGCAAAAGGTTTGGAAGGAAAGGTGCCTACTGACTGGGAGAAAGGCTACCTCGTCAAGCTGTCAAAGAAGAGTGACTTATGCCTCACTCTGCAAGGACTCGAGTGGAATAATGCTCTTGTCCACGCCAAGTAGAATACTAAGTCGCATCATCCTGGAAAGAACAAAAGATGCACTGGATGCAGAATTCCGTCCCACAGAACAAGTTGGATTCAGAAAAGGAAAATCACGTGCTAATCAAATTGCAACTCTACACATCAAC